ATTCATGTTACAAACTTCAGAATATTTAATATGGCTTTGTTGATCAAAAAAGTTTTTACCGAACTTTTAAAGGCATGAGAGAAACTTCGAAAAATCGAAAATTAATTACGAATTAAAAATTTATTCTGATGTTCACAAGCCATCAGCCAGGTATTACAATCATGATCCGGAGGCAAAGCAATAGGGGCTTTGAAATTTATATATTTCGTAATATTTAGTTTATTTTAAGTACAAATAAATCAATTAGATACAAAACGTTTTAAAACAATGTTTTGAAACTCGGAATTTTCCGTGAAAAAAAAAAGATATACCGGTAAGTAAAATATATGCATATTTAAGAAATGTGTAACCGGACTTGATGACTTGATTGATATCGATAATCAAAAAAAATTCTTATTCTTCGATCTAATTTCACAGGAAAGAAAGAAAATTTGAAAAACAGTTAATTGATGTTTACAAGAAGAAGTCATTGAGATTGTAATCAAGATCGGATACAATGCAATAGATTTATACATACCACAGGATCAAAAAATCTAAACTATTATGTTATTAGTAACTCATCATGTATTGAAATCAAATTCTGCAACGAATTTGACATCTATGTTGACAAATAATATAATGCATACAATAAGTTTCGTGTATTAAAATCAATCCGGACTCGAATCCATAGAAAGTAGAAACGTGAACCTGTTATAGACATTTGAATAACACGTGCAAATGAAAATCCTACGCGACCATTTTAAAAAATCACCAGATTACAGACAAGACTTGATATGACTTGGTCTTTTTTCATAGGGAAAAAAATTAAACTTATCTCTGATGTAGAGCCAATAGATATAATTAAGATCCGAATCACCTTTATTTATAAATATTAACCAGAACCAGTTATGGAAGAATATGAGAAGTTTTTGACGCGATTATGTATGTAACAAATTGATCAAATTCTATATTCTGGTCAGATGATGATGAATTGGTGTATTAAGAGCTTGTTAAGAATCGGGACCAATCAGGTTTTTAGTTTTTATCCCGACTCTTGTTTTTTTTTATCATTAAATAATAAGTATTTGATACTATGAGATACATACTTATTATTCTATGCGGTATCAATAAATAACTGAAATATTCACCGATGCCTTGGGGCCTCCCGAAGGGAAGAGAGCATCAGTGTATATGGAGTATTTATTAGATATCCATGGAATAACGGGCCTATCTAACAAATTTAATTTCTATTGATATAATTTTCCATGAGATTTTATTTTGCCAAATATTGAGTCAATTTTTATTTGCTGTGATCCTATTAATATTAAGTAAAAATTAATTTTTATTTATATTTACAATAAATGATATTTTTATATTACCTCTTGCTCTTCTCCTTCAGTTATATTATGAACTGAATAAGTGATATTTTATATTTATCCCTATTTAAATAAATTTTTGAGTATTTATCACGTACATAACTTTGCCCATTAAAGTTGTAATATCAAAGTTTTAACGAATCAAATTATTTAGAATTTTTTTTTTTTAAAAAAAAAAGGAGAGAAAATGAGTCGTACTTCATCACGCATCTTTTTGCATAAAGACATTTTTTTTATTTACATTTTTGGAATATTAATTAGCTAACTGAATGTGACTTCTTCCGTGACCCGCATTTGAAATTTAATCTGAAGTTCTTTGTTCATAAATTTAACGACAAAAGCAAACTGACACATATAGAAAATAAATTTTATTGTTATATTCCAATTTAAATAATTATTAATTATAAAGCAATGCCGTATTTATTTAATAATATATTTATAAGGAAAAATATGATTTATTCTACTTTCTTTCAAATGCATTTTGATGTAATAATATTAATATACATTTTTTTCAAGTAAATACGCGTATGTTGTATTTGAAATCCTGGCTTCCGATAAATAATAATGTCATTCAATATATTAATAAAAATTCTAAAACATTTCCTTTTATATTACGCGCATAATTGTCAAATTTTTTTCTTATAAAAAGGGTCAGAAAATTACTGGAGAAATGAAAAAAAAAATTCACTTTTTTTTTACAAAAAGAAATTCAAAAAAGTAAATATGCTTATTCTCATTCTTATAATTCTTCTTTGATTCATTCTTTAATACCTATTATTCCTCACTTTAATCTTAACAAATTCTCTCAACATCATAATATTGCCACAATTTATTTCATCTCAAAGATAATTAAACCATTTACAAAATAAATCCTTTGATGGAAGCCAGCAAATGAAAATGAAAAAGCTGTATTGCTGGTTTTCAAGGATGCAGATATTATATAGCACGCTATTGAATTATCACTTTTAATCCAAACAGAAAGGAACTTGTCAAACGCGGTTATGAAAAGGGGAATAGAACAGTTTAATAAAGAATGAAAACAAAGGTGGATATTGTAATCAAAAAATAAGTCAAAATAGTGAGCTCTTAAATTAGTTAAATATAATCATATAATTAAATGGTTGAAAATTAATTCATAATACTATCTATATCGATTGTTGTGGAATAACATTCTTTGATGATGGTAGCAAAAAGATTTCCACCACTTCTTTGTCAGATACTGAAAAATATATTACAGATACACCCATTATTTTGATAAATTATAAACTAGTTTGTCTGATATTGGCTTTATCTGATATTGGCAAATATACTGTGAAGAACTTATACCATTACCACTATTTTTCTAATTCTTATTGTAATCCAACATTACAAAATGAAAATCAAAAATACATTCATTCTAATATTCGATTAATAATAGTTATCTCATCACATATCCGTCACAGTACTCATCCACATCCAATTGTTAACACTTCACATTTCCTCGATCCAATGTCTTTCCTTGCCTTAATTATGGCATTAATAATTGTCAGAAGACAAAATATAATTTTAGCATAGAACAATATTTTACTATATTCATATTGACCACTCCAACAGCATTTGATCCCTACAACTTCTAAGAAAATCAAGTTATCAACAAAAAATTATAAAACTTAAACTTAAATAGTGAAAAGGAAACTAATTGTTTTCCAATTATAAAATATGGATTTAGTAATTAGTAAATATTTCGTCTATTTGAATTATTTTAAATAATCCTTACGATCATGATCATCAACACAGATTGATTACGTCACATAGATCAAGGAACATCCTCTATTAAAGGGATAAGTTGAAGAACATTTTTTTCCTTCAAATTAAAATAACGTAGTACAGTAGTAGAAATTATTTTTATTGTAGCTTTTTTTTTGTTAACGTGAACATTTGAAAAATAATGTTCCTAAAGTTTTAGTTATAAAATTTATGTTCAAAAAGTCGATGAATTAAGAAGAAAAAGATGCCAAATAATATAAAGCAACACAAACAATTGTGGCGGTGATAATTGTTGGGGTTAATAATATTCATATGATCGTGATTGGTAATAAACACGTGGTTGAGGTAGGACCCCGAGCTATATATATAGAGGTAAGGTGCAGCCAAAAAAAATTTACTATTAGCTCTACGCATTTTTTCAGGGCCGGAATTATGATAATGCCAGTCAGCGTCTAAAGAAGGAAATAAATTCCGGCCGGAATTATCTATAAAAGGAAAGATCTACATGATTATTTTGGTCAATTCTACGCAAACCCTTACCCTACCTTTTTATGTATAGCTCGGGTCCTGTTGAGGTGGTAATAGTAAAGGTAATTTCTTTTCTGGTAATTGTTTGAATCTGCGGTTTCCGTAACCGCTAAAATTCAAAAGAATTTCGAGTTCTTCTTTCCACTAATATATTTTTAAATTTACTATCGCGGTCCCTCCGAATATATTGGAAAATTAAAATTAAATGTGATTTATTTGATAAACATATACTGCTTGATCAAAATATTTTTTTTGGATTAAATTTTAATAGGTTGAAAATCGATTAATATATATAAATTTTTTAAACAATGAACACTTCTATCGATAATATAAATTATACAATATATACAAAAAAGGAGGACTGGAGAACAGACCGACTGATACTTAAGTCTAAGTTTTTTATCAAAGAGCTTAAAAATTTTTTTCTTAACAAAATAATATATTTTAAACCCTATAAAAAAAATTAGATACGTTTTTTATAAAGTTTTTATACGATTTTTTTTCCTTAGAAATAACGTATCATAATAGGATACGGAAAAATGCACAATTCCGTATCACTGAAAATATGGTTTGGATACGGAATTTGCACGGAATTCATATGGAATTTACATGATTTGATCACTGATTTTATCACGAAATTTATACGATTTGGTCACTGAATTTACTATTTGTATTACAG